GGTGAGGTGGGAGCAAGGGCGGGGCGGGGGGCGGCAAAGGGACAAGGGAGGTGTAAGACACAACCTTCCAAAAACCCGCTGGGTCTGGGCAGCTAACCTCGCGCCTCCCCTCCCCCGACAGCATCACTTCCAAAGAGGCGCACTCCCAGCCGCTGGGCTGTGTGCAGGTGAAACCAATTTCGGTAAATTTCCCCACTCGGCTCTGCACAGATAACTCGAGCTCCAAATGTGCCCTTCCCCGGCATCTGGTTCCCATTCCCCCCACTCACCCCTCCCTCTGCGCTCCCCCTTCCCACTCCTTAAAAATTCAGAAGATCCTCGCCCTAAAGAAGACCGCCCAGCACAGGCGGAATGGGCTCCCGGACTCCCGGATTCAGCGTGCAGACTCCCCCCACCCAACCCACACGTAAATGCTCGCTGCGCGCCCTCTCCCCAACCCCGCCAAGAATTCGGCTCAGTCTACACCTCTGTCTTCCCTGCTCCCCCAAACCAGAAACCAACTCACTCGGTCCAGGCTTTGATCTTCAAACTTTGCCAGAGATCAGAGAAGCCTCGGGACCCACCACCCCCGTCCTCCCAGCCCACCTCCCGGAGCCGCAAACCCTACAAAACCGGATCAGAAGCCGTCTCACGCTACTCCTGCCTGTGCCAAGAATCCTAAACTCTACCGATCCCAAGCCTGTCTTTTTTCCAAAAGAAAAAAGTCTTATCTAGCCAATAAACAAGCCGCTTTCCCTAAGATGGAAAAGATCAAAGCCGGGGCGTGCCGGTGGGAACTGGGTTCGACCCCGGGTCTGGGGTGGGTGCACGCCGCCCCCGCCCAGGCCCTCAGGCGGCTTTCCTTTGAAGCGGCTCCGCCGGCCCGAGCCTCCGCCCGCACTTTTTACAGCAGGGCTTTCGGTGGAGGAGGCGAGCACCTCGGCCGCCGCGCGGCCCCGAAATCCACGGCTCTGAGGGGCTATTTTTATTTCCCGGCTCTCGGGTCGTTACTAAGTTGCCAGGACCTTATCAAAGCGCAGCCGGCTCCAGCCGACTCCCCCGGGCCCGACTCGCGGAGCCACTGATCCCGCCGCGCCAATCACAGCCGCGCTCGGCCGGCCCGCGCCGCCCGCCTTAAAGGGACAGCGCCCCGAGCCGGGCCCGCCCCCGCCGCACGCTCCGCTCCGGCGTTAACCCTTCCCCGGCCCTCCTCCGCCCCCTGCCCGCCCCCAGCGGCCCGGGGGCGTTCTCAGCCCGCGTTCTGATTTCGTCTTTCAAGTTCCCCGGCCTCTTGGCCCTTCTTGCCGCCGCCTCCTGCCTGCGCTCGCCCTCCCGAGCTCTGGAATGCAACAGTTTCTGGTAGCATTCTGGCCATCGCCAGAACTGCAAGCAAGCAGATTTTTTTTTTCCTATCATCAAACACTTTTCTACTTCTCTTCAAGTTTCCCTGGGAATTTGGGTTTGGAGGAGCTTGTAAAGGGAGCTGTAGCCCTGGGATGGACTGGCCGACGGTCACGGGGCGTATGCGAGCCCGGATGCGGGAGGCGTGCGCGTGGCTCTGTGCGCCTGTGTCTGAGTTTGGGTGAAGACAGGGCCACGGTTAGTGGATGGTGTGCGTTTACGGGTGTGTAAAGATGGGGCTGTGAGTCTGCCTGAGTGCTGGAGTAGCTCCCTGACACCGCGTTGGGAAGCCTGCCTCAGTTCCCGGAAGATTTAAACCCCACTTCCCAAACGTGCCTGGCCAGGAGAATCCTCATTCAGCACGCAAAGACTGTCTCTTCGTAACAACTGCATACCCTCTGCTCTCATCCAGACGCCCCCCATCCTCCATATGTTACAGATTAGACAGACATGGAATGTCTTTTTTCCTCTTGGCACGTGGTTTTAAAGTATTGAAAACTCCTCACCCCGTTGTCACCTTTGAATTCCTCCTCATGTTCCCCCCAAAATGTGTATAATGCACAACCTTCTCCCTTAAACTAAGAAAATGTGCCACAAACCCAGAACATTATTTATCTATTGCTATAGAATGAGTCCTCATGTGATGAACTAATAATTAACTTTTCTTCCTTTTAAAAACCGTAAAAGTGTGAACCAAAGAGATCCAACCGGTGAAAGGCAAAGCCACAGCCTCATCTGAGCTGTGCAAGGCTTTCACTCTCCAACTCTACTGGCTTTTCCTTTATTTACTTTCTCGATGAACTTAATGGATAACAAGCCCTTTTACATGCAGAGAAGGCCTATCATTAGGCCTTCAGAACTTTAAAACATGCAAGAAATGTGACTGTCATTTTCATGGAAAACTAGAGGGAAGATCTGCCACCCATGATCAGCTGGAAAAGGACATGCAGCCCAGGACTGCATTCTCCATCTGTCCCCAGCCTATGGGGCTGTGACAAGGACTAGAGAGCTCTTGCAGCCCAGGCTGCCAAACTCTCCAGCTCCTGAGCACCAGAGCAGGTGGCATCTCCCTTCCCAAGACCTGCCTCGCTGTGACCATCCACAGTCTGCCCCCCAGTCTCACTGCTCCAGACAGCCAGCTTGGTGTAAATCCAGCAGTCCAGGCTGGCTATGAAATGCTGTCACCTGGAGGCAAGCTGGGAAAGGCAGAGAAAGAGCATGGCCCTGATGACTCATCTTTGCCTTGGGACTACAGTTAGGTGCAAGGAAACTGGTTGGCTCTAACAGCTGACCTTCCAGAATCATTAAGGGTGAATGGCCCACAACTCCTCTCAGCCACCAGCTCTGAGCTGGCATATGAGACTCAGGGCCAAGGGCATACCTACCCTCTTTGTCAACCCTAGGAATCCCAAGAGCAAAACTGTCACTGGAGAGTTCCAGGGAGTTTTCGGGCCACAAAAGGTGTTATTATTGGAACAAAAGTGTAGACAGAGGGGGATGAATTGCCATAGAAACATCTACAACATAAACAACGGTAGGGGCACACACAGATACACACACACACGTTGTGGGGGAGGAGAGATAGAAAAATCAAAACATCCAAAATCAAAATAAACAATGTTCAGAAAGAGGAGGCTTTCAAAAAGGAAGTGGAAACCTGGTCTTCATGGGTGGTTTTCCTCCCCTCCCAAGTTGTCCCCAGTGACCCTTCACTGCCCCCCAACCAGCCCTAATCATCACAGGCTGAGCTTTAACCAAGGGACTCCCGTTTGTTCCCTCATCATCGCAGGGCCACCAGCAGCAGGGAGGAGGGACTGGGCATGGGGACACAGGAGCTAGGCCTAGTTTGGTTTGCATCGTCTTACTCCTCCGAGAGCCTCATTTCCAGAACAGGTGCTTGGGTTACCTTAGGCCAGCAACTCCCCCACTGTCACCCCTGCCCCATACCTTCCCCCCAGCATCCTTTCTGGGGGGACACTTCTCATCGAGCAGGAGCCTGGGCCAAGTGCTAAGAAGCCAGAAGCTCTCGCTAGCCTCTGGGTCTTTGACTACTTGTTGATAATATTTCTAGAGGAGAATCCAAAGCCCTTTGCTTATACCCATCTCCTCTCTCAAGATAGCAGTTTTCCATTTTCCCCTTCTCCCTGGCAGCAACGCTATCATGTGACTTGTTGGAATCCTGCACGGTTGCCTGGAGACTGGAAAGCAAGGTGATGGATTTCTGCACATGCTCACTCTCCCCCCACCTCTTTAAAGAAAAACTACAGAGGATCAACAGCCTACTTTGCCTGAGTGCAGACAAGTTTAATAAAGCAGAGAGTGATTCTTTTCTGGAATTATGTACTGGGCTGAAATCCTAGAATCCCAGAAAACAAGGACTAAAGCCTCCCTGGGAGGCATCTGGCCAGATCTCCGACCTTGAGTCAACCTCACAAAAACCACTGTGGAGGGGAAGTCAGACCAGCTGGGACTCCAGAGGAGCTGAGACCCAAAACATTGCTCTTTCAGATTCAGTAACTGTGTCTTTTATTTCTTTGCAATATGCCAAAGAAAAAAAAAAGTGCCACTTTAAGACAATGTACCTTTGTTTAGGGAGGAAGGTGGAGAGAGACACAGGTAACCTTTCCTAAGACTGTCGGTTACCTAACCACTCTGAGTCCCCATTTGTTCACCTGGAGAGTGGAGGAAACCTTCCCGGACAAGGCTGTTGTGAGTTGTGAGCGTGACCAAGAAGGTAAATGCCCTGCACGGTGCTTGACATGTAGTAGGTGTCCAACACATGGTGGTTATTTCTGCACAGCCCCCTGTCCCCTCAATAGCCTATTACTTGTTCTGGAAAACAACTCCCATTTCCGAAGCAAAGATACCCTCTAAGGAGGAGCCACACTCCTGGGGAAGGGTGACTGCAGGAAGCTGACCATGGGAGGTCCTGGAAGAGCCCAGGGAAGCTGGGCCTCTCCACCATCTTTCAAAGACGATCCTATCTGATGTCCAGAAAGAAACAACAGAATCTTCCAGCCCAGGGGGCCCTTCAAGTGTCATCTAATCCAACTCACCATTTGAGAAATAAGGAAAGTTAAGCTAAGAGAAAGTGAAGAGATTTCCCCAAGATCACTCGGTCCATTGTCAGAGCTGAGCTACAACTTCCTAGGCACCCTGAGTGCTGGCCGGTCCTCTTTTCCTCCACACCATGGTGAGGAGGCCCAGGGCAGGACTGGCCGAGAGGGGAGCCTGAGCACCTGGAGGT